ATAAGAACCAAGATACTCATGTAATGGTACAAGATCCCAATGATGAATGTAACTGTATTTTATACCTAAAATGTACCAGTAAACTTAATGGAAAATAAAGATCTAAAAATAGATATTCCTTTAACTCAAGAGATTTCGCTTCTAGGTATCTTCTTAAAAGAGGTAAAGACATGATAAGACAATGATACAGGCATACCCATGTTTATAGCAGCACAATTCACAATAGCTAAATGTGAGGGAAAGCAGGGGAAGGGATGCACAAAGAATTAACATGTATTATGCACATGTTCCAACTTCTCCCAGTGAATGTAATCATTATGTACTACATGCAGGTACTAAAAAAGAAATAAAATTATTTTGGCCTGGAGATGTAGCTCAGTGGTAGAGCACTGGCTTACAGGCATGAGGGCCTAGTTTTCAACCCTGGCACTACAAATTAAATATGCACATAAAAATAAAATCAATTTATTGGTTTACTTGTTCATTGTCTGTCTCTTCTGTTGGACAGAAGGCCATGTGGCAGCCCACAACCAAGGGCTGACAAAGGCATAGTCCCAGCCAACACCTTCACTCCCTAAGCTAAGGCCGTAACCCCTGATCCTTGCTCCAACACTTCTTCCCCTCTTGTTATCTGTGTTAGTTTGTGAGGACTGCCACAAAGAAATGCCACAAAGTGGGTGGCTGAACAGCAAAATGTATTGTTTCAGAGTTGTAGAGACTGATGTCTGGAGTCAAAATCTCACAGGGCAAGGCTTTCTCTGAAGGCTCCAGTGGAGAATTCTTCATTTCTTTCAGCTTCTGGAGCTTGTTTGCAATCCTTGGCGTTGCCTGACTCACACCTGCTACACTTCCATTTCTGCCTTGCTTGCCACATGGCCTTTGCTGTTTGGTAACTGTGTCTGTTCTCCTTTTGAAAGGACACCAGTCATAGTGCATCAAATGTCCACCCCATTCCAGTATGATCTCAACTGATAATATCTGTAATGACCCTATTTCTAAAAATGTTCACTTTTTTTTTTTTTTTTGGCAGCCCTGGGATGGAAACTAGGGCAGTGTGCATGCCAGCCAAGTGCTGTACCAGTGAACCACATCCCTATCTCAGAAAAGATCACATTCTGAAGTAATGGGAAATAAGACTTCAACAAATCTTTTGGGATGAAGAAAGAAGACAGAATTCAACACATAGTATTTTTCTTCTATAGCCAGTTTTCCACAGATTTGACCAAGTGAACTTTTACAGAGTACATTGCCAATGAACACTGACAGAAAAATGTAATGAATAAAATTAGTGAATGAATGAATGAATGAACGAACAAATAATGACTGAATGAGGAACTAACCAACAACGAATGAGAGACTTGGTACAGGGACGCCAAACGCAGAAAGCAAGTATAATGTACTGCGATTCTTCCCCACCAGGTGGCGCTGCAGCCAGCGGGAGCAATTGGACAAGGAGAGGCAATGGCTGGTTTTGTGCGCGCTGGGCGCGGCGCGGGGGTGGGGGCGGGGGAGTCATGTGACCCGCTCGACTTCCTAGCTCAGCAGCCCCTCCTGCTTGTGTCCGGGGGTGTCTCCCCGCCCGCTCTTGACGAAGTGTCGCTGTCCAATTTGGCCGGCGTCTCCTCTGTCCTCTTCCAGGCCAGCACCAGGCTGGCGCTCATCTCTCTTCTGGACTGGTTCGTCCCGCTCTTCTGGAAGGAGAAGGAGCTGACTCTCGTGGGGCTGCAGTACTCGGGGAGGACCGCGTTCCTCAGTGTCATCGAGGTGAGCACCTGCCAGCTCACCGCCTCCGTTTAGCAGCCAGCGAGCCTGCTGGGCGCCTCCCTCCAGGCAGGACTTAGGCCCTCCGCTCTGGGCATGAGGGATCGGTGGCGTGGGAGCGGGGCTGTCCAGCCGAGAGTTGCCAGCGGACGTTGTAGCTCTAAGGTCAGCAACTGAAGGCTTAATTCCATTTAGCCTTGAAAGGGCTGTGCCTTTAGTGCGGTGGATGCTTGTAAAGGGTCAAGTGAGCTTGTCACATTTTCAAAGTTTGTGTGTCGGGGGGGGGGGGGAGCTGTTGTGGTTTCCCTCCCTTGTGGTCTGTGGGGGCAGCCAAAAGGTTAACTTCAGTCTGTCACTTTCTTTAAGGGTAGGATTTGGGCGAGCCTATCCTTTTTGAGAAAGCAAAGGAATGAAGAGCCTCTCCCAAGTTGCCTCTTGGGATGAAGAGCCCCTTTTTGAAAGCAGGAGACCAATGTGGGCGCCTTCTTGAATGCTGTGGGCCGCTTTATTACAGTTGATTGGGCCAAAATGGTCCAGGTTCTTGTGTAGGAGGAGGAAAGACTTGCCAAATGTATACCTCCTAGTATATAGTAAGTAGCTACATTTATTAAAGATCAGGGACAGTAGCTGGAGGAACAGGCAAAAGGGAAGAGGAAGAAGGGAACTCAACTCAGGCTTCCAGTATTTAATTAAGGGACATAATGCCAATTTTGTTGTAAAGGTGCATTGTTGTGGGTGTATAATACCCACGTTTATTCTTTAGAATATTTCTAGTGATGAGTTATTAATTTTAATTTTGAGTTTTATTATATTAAACAATGAGTACTTAACAGGAAAATAATCCCCCAAAGCGTTGAATTTTTAATATTTATTGAGTGTTTATAAAAAAGCATCAACATTTTCAACATTGATTGTTTTTTGGTGTACAAAGGCTAAAAAAAGAGCAACAGAAATAAATTCCTATATGAACTACAATGAAAATACCAGTAGTGCTCTACAAAAGAAATGTTTAATTATCACACTTAAGGCAGCCTTCACACATGTCAACAGCATGTTCCATACACATGTGTAGCTTACACTAATAGCACATATGTTTTGCTTTCCTGGCCTTTTTGTTGGACATACTTGACATCTCACTGGTCTTGCTGTTCTGTCAGGAGGTTCTTAGATTATACAATGTGTAGTTAACAGGAACATAAAATATCAATAAAATAAAGTATTAAATTCTTAATATATATTGTGCATTTAGAATAAAGATCATTTTCACATCAGCTGTGTACTCGCTTACAGAACCTAAAAGATAACATCAGAAATAAATTCCTTTCAGAACTACAATGAAAATACCAATAGAACTCTACCACAAAAATAATCTTTGCTTAAATTGTCACACCCAAAGCAGTAATCATACATGACAACTGGGTGTTCCATGCACACATCTCACTTACACTGACAGAACATGTGCTTGGCTTTCCTCTCCTATGTGGCAGGCCATTCTTGACACCTCTCTTCTTATCTTGTTTTATCAGGAGCTTTCTACTATATTGTACAGTGTGGACTTAGGAAAATAAGACATCAATAAAGTAAAATATCAAATGTGTAATGAATGCTTAGAATAGACCTCAGTATTTTCACATCAGCTGTTTATTTGCACACAAAACCTAAAAGATAACATCAGAAATAAAAACCTATATGAAGTACAATGTAAATATAAACAAAAGTCTACCACAAAAATAATCTTTGCTTCAACTGTGACACCCAAGGCAGTCTTCACACATGAAAACTGCATATTCCATACACAATATTGCTTACACTGATAGCACATATGTTTTGTTTTCCTTTCCTTTCTTGTAGGGGACAGTTGACATCTTTTTGGTTTCCCATGGTTGTAGTAGGTCTTTGTGATGCTACACCTGGCCATTCACCTGTCAGCTCACCAATGTGCTCCACACCTTTTTTGTGTAGTTTACTGGGTAGAAACATTTTGTTTTTCCTCTGCTATAAATGATCTCTGATGAGTTTCAGTCCAAATCCTCTAAGAAAATTTCTCTGTGCTATTTTGCACTTGTTATTTTCATTGTAAATTATCAAAGTATTTATGCCACATGTTTAGGCTTGAGTAAAGGACAACCATTGGCCAATGGTTTGTGTTGTGAGTGACATCATACTTGTCACATAATTCATCAATAACGTCTACTCAGCTTTTGGTTTTGTTGTAGAAAGTTTCCATCTCAGTCCTCCATTTTGTAGAGGTTTTCCTGTAATATTTCTCCATCATGGTGCAGTGTTGACATCCGCAGTACCAGTTTGTTTTTCTTTGCCATATACGAGGCCAATGTAAATCTTTCTGAAATTCAAAGATTGTGCTATACAATTTGGTTTTGAAATTACAACATTTCATTTGGAATTTCTGCTTTGTTCCTGCATACAGTTCCCATGCTAGTCAACTTGCACTCTCTTAGCAAATGTAACACCAATTGGAAACTGGTAAATTAATTGTCAAATGTCACATTCTGATTAGTTTGGGAGATGGAAGCAACACATCTGTTCACAACATCATTTGGTTGATTACTGTATGAATAAGGACCTAGTGACCGAGTTCCAAATTCTAAATTGAAAGCATAATGTCTTTACATCTACAAGGGCATACATTTTTATGCCATATTTTGACCCATTGCTTTTCCGTAAGTCTTTTACATTCCTGTGATTACCATGAGAAAATCTCTATGAATGCTTTCAGTTCAACTAGTGAGGTGTCATAATAAATAATTTTTTAATATGGTTATTGGTGCATGCAGAACATTTTACTTGTATTTCAGCCTTTGTGTATTTCACAACGTCTTATAACATTTCATCTGTTACAATTTCCAACATTGAATGGGAGTGCTGGCATTCTGTCCAATAGGTTTCACCCTGCCAAGACCCTCACTATATTTTCAGATGTAGTTCTAACATTGGCTCATTCCATTTGGTTGTGTGACCATTGGTACAATTTCGACTAGTCAAATATGTATTCACATTGCTGTTTTCTTCATCATCTGAGTAAAGTCTTCATTCCCTGTATTGGTTGATACTTGCTCCATTTCACTGTCAGGAATTTTGGCTCATACAGCCAACATCAAAGTCATCATCATCATCATCATCATCATCATCATCATCATCATCATCATCATCATCATCATCATCCATGCATGATTAATCACTTTTGACCTCCTGTAAAACTTGCAAGTCTATTTTCTCATGTGGCATGGTACTGTATTGGGCTACTTCTACCAGAGAAATCAACAGAAAACTTGAAAAAAATACTAAATGCACAGGTATTTACCAATGAGCATTTCATGGGTAAAACTCACCTGTTGCTACTTTGGAGCTCCTGTACACACCTTGCCATTCATCTGCCAATTGCAGGAATGCATAGATTGGTTTTTGCTTTCTCCAGGCACAGCTACTGTCAGACACAGCCATATTCCATTATGGTAAAATACAGGGTTTCATAACAGAAGAGTGGTGTGGGTATATTTTATCCCCCATGATGCTCAGGTAAAAATAAAAAAACTTGTTAGATGGAACATTATGTGGATAAAAATCTGTTTGACGCTTTTGCACACATGCACACGTGCACACAACTTGACATTCTTTGTACCAAGTGGATAAACACAGAGATTGCTTCCTGTATCCCCCAGGCACAGCTACTGAAATGCACAGCTGGTTACTATTATACTAAAGTACAAATTTGCAGTAGAAATGTATGAGATGGGTTGTTGTAACCCAGTGTTATGCCCTAAGTTAGGAGTTTCTCCCTTAAAGAGAAGGGAAGGAACTACAAAGAAGTGTATGTTATCACAGGCTTGGAGAGTGGGAGTCTGGGAGGGAAATTACCCTGAGAACTTATAAAATATGGTGTTTATTCAGGATTGACTGAGTAGAAGGATGGTTATTGAGGCTTGCCTCTTTGGTTGGAGAAGAAATAGGAGTAAAAGATTTCTCTTCAGTCCTAATTTAGGCACCAAAAGTTGCTCTGATTGAGTCTTTGAATACAGAGTTTGTACTTGCTAGGGGTGGAGTTTAGTACTATTCTAAAGAGAGATGACAGCACTTCTACATTTTAGATGACTGTTAAAACCCTCATTTAACATGCAACTACCTGTCTGACTGATTTTGTTATTGGGTAGCTTGCCTCTAAAAGTGGCTTGCCAGCTAAACATTACCAGATTCTCAGTAGCTTGCCTCTTGCCTCTCTTTCTGGAGTTAGATTCTGGGCTCTGCTTATCTCAAACAAAGAATTGAATGAAACAAGCAAAGAAGCAATGGCAATGTTTATTCAAGAAAGCAAAAATGAAGAGTAGAGGGAGACACTGGCTCTGCAGAGTGATCTTGAGTGGAACAAGAGAAAAAGAGGGTAAGGGCAAAAATAAAAGTACACAGTGCATCTGGGAAATGCAGCATGGACTATTATGGAAAGTTACCATAGCACTGCTCCTCATGGCTGCCTTTCTTTTACGCTGTCCAAATATCAAGGAAACCTTTGAGAACTTCTACATATGGGCCCGTGGGGGTAGGGGGAACAGTGCTGGATCCCATGCCTCAAGCTGACATCATATTGAAAACCTGCACAGGGTTTTGTCAGAAGCCCACTTGCAGAGCTTTCGGAACTTTCTGCATATGTGTCTGGGATCTTATAGTTAACAGGTCATGCCTACTTCCACAGCCAGCTTTTGTGCAACCCTATTCTCCTCCCTCAGTTTTGTTACATGAATGATTCGGACAGATGCTTTGTTGGAGAAAATAGATAGCTTGTGACACTTAGTCCTTGCTGTAATAGAGCAAAAAGAGCACGACTTTGAGAAAAAGAGATTAGCAGGAATCCAAACCTGTTTTGAATAATCATACATTTAACTATAAAGAAAAGTGCCTATTTATGTGGCTCCTGTTGTAATATCTTTTGGGTCTTTTTAGAATGACTACCTTTTGAACAGGTGTATCTAAGAGTGCCATTAAAATTAATA